AATAGATAATGTCACATTCAATATGATAGGATGTTGGACGAAGTTCAAAAGATAAGAGTCCGCGAGGCAGACTGGAAATTTAGTTTTACAATTTCAATATTGGTATCGGAGACCAACTTTCAGCTACGTTCACAACTTTGTCGTATTGCATTTTTATTATGGAGTATATTTACAGTTTTATTTTAAAGAAAAATAAAGACAATATTTAATCACTTTGTTTGTGAAATCATTGTAAAAGACTGGCATGAGTTGGGGCGCCATTTTAATTTTTCTAACCAACTATTAGGAATGAAGTATTCCTAATATGCTTTAAGCTATTAACTATATTCACGTACATATGAATTAAAGAAAAATTTTATACTTAAAAAAATATAAGAGATATTATCGACTTTGAAACCATTATTTTGTTTTCTTAATTTTTTTTTCGATGGCTTGAAACTCACGCAAACGTTCCATACATGTTTTTTCGGTGTTTTACCTCATTTTCATCTTTTTTTTTTCGATATTCATGACTTCCATCAGCACCAGTTCTTGAAATACTTGCAAATAAAATACACATAAAAGCTCTGGCTTTTTACTAATGCTTTGTAATACACAGGCGCATACACGCGTATATAAACTATATATATAAACTAACATACACACTTCAGACGGTCGGATCACAGCAAGTTATAGAGTTTTATATATTAAATGTATATTTAGGTATCTACTATACTATACTCATTACACGAATTCTTCTCCCAATGCTCCGTAATGCGGTGGCTTACACACGTGTACTAACAGAAATAAAACTTGGATGAGACACGTATTTTTTATGATAGAAGATGGCAAGCGAGCTGACAGTTCAACTGATGTTAAGTGATGTACATCAAAGAACAACGCAACTACACCACGTTGCCACCTTTTAATAAAATGGGCCCGGCTATCTCACTCACCAGACGAAACGCAGAACTGTAGAACTTACACTTCACGCCGTTCTTCTGTGAGGTTGTGGTACTTCCTCGGATGGAGCTAACCCTTCCGTGCAACATCGAAAACTGTTTTATGGCCGTACCACAGTTGGCCGTACACAATCATGTTCCTCTGTTTGTCGCGACGGACTTTTCTTTCGAGTTCCAAATCGTAACAATTCAAAAGAAGTATCACATATACAAATCGTTGTTTCGACTGTCTTATGCACATACACATTTAAGAAATTTTATTTGAATACCTTTATATACCTATATTTCACGTAAATAACATTTAATTTAGATCTATTACTGATACAAATGATGCGATACTAAACACGAAACATTTGATTTTGTCAACACTTTAGATTGTGTCACAGTAATTGCTATTGGAAAATGATTTATTACATGATAAGAAAATTTTGTACAGCAATGTTCCTTTTCCATATACATGAAATCGTCATCAAATTAATTATGAAAATAAATATGTTGCGCCAAATGTTTTAAGTAATCAATTTTCTCTGTTTATAAAAAATAGACAGGTAATCTACGTAAAGATGGCAAAGTGACACGGGTCCTTGCCAATTGTCCTTGCTCCATGTTAGGCGCCTTCGATTCCAAGGAGGCACAGAAAAAATAATTTTGAAAATAAAAACCGACTCCAAACAGTAAACTAATAAAAACATTGTCAACATCTGTAACATTTGAGGATTGCCCTCGATTTCTTTGGCATGCCATCATCAGATCTGGGGATCCTTATCATGGTACCACCCATGGGGCATCTCCTTTCCAACAAAGAAAGAATCATCAAAATCGGTTCATAAATGACGAAGTTATCCCCGAACACACATAAAAAAAATAAAAATATATACGGTTGAAGTGAGAAATCTTATCCTTTTTTGAAATTGGTTAAAAACATTAAGAATGCTTCACTCTTTTTGGATACAAAAAATGAAGAAAATTTTAGTAATAATTGAAATTTACAGCACATAGCTTGTTTCTGTTATCATATTTTCGCCCCCCGTTGAAACCGCGCAGCACGTGGCGTTTAATGAGAAATTATAGCGATCTGTTTAATCTCATTGAAAGCAAGAGTATTAGTTATTACGCTTACAGCATCATAGACGACGCTAATAAATAATTTGACTGTAAATTTTCACTTCGGTTTCTGAATTTTCAATTTACTTGCTAAATTTTGTATTGAATAAACAATTTTTTTAAGTTACTCTTTTACTCTTTGTTTAAGCAACCAAAATATTATTCCACATTCCAATAAGGTATGTAGTTTAATGTCGTAGTTTAAATTCGTATTTTGAGAATCGTAGAAACCAAAACCATTTGGAATCTTGCATGTTGTTGTCCGATAATTAAAAATTGAGAAGGACTTTAACTTTAAATAAGATAAGCTATTTAATAAAAAACAATGTATCAATCAATATTAAGATAACATATGTGCTAGAGGTCGCCAACTCAAAGATCAGGGGCAGTCATTTCAATATTTTCAGATTCTAAGCACTAATCATAGTTTAATTTAAGTTGTTTAAGATTTGCAATTTGAATCCTGCTAAGTCCTCTTTAATATTTACTATTTGGTGAAAGTATATTAAAATATTATAAAAAACAATTATAATATCACTTCTAGTAGTAGTAAACATAACATGGGAGTAACGTTTTTACTTACGTTTAATATACTATTGTTTGTTTAAAACCGTAATACATGGTAAATACTTATGCACGTAAATTTACAAATTCGTAAAATTCGTTAAATGATTGTAGTAGTATAGATTGTCCTATAGGTACGTCCTTAAGTTTTGGCATATATAACTTAACAATTTATTGCATACAGAATTGTGCACTTTATAAGTGAACAAAATATTAATAAATTGCTACTGCACCATAAACGTAAAAATTAAAGATTCTCGAAGCAAACATTCAATTGAAACAATATCAGTTTCCATAATTCTACGACTACGTCTTAAGACCACGAACACGTTCAATTTGCGTAGACTATAGTTGGATTTTAGAAGTGAAAACTTCTTTAACTGACGTCATCGTCACCGAACGTTTTTTATGTAATTCAATTATTATTACTACATATTGTTCAATTAAATATTTAGGTGTCATAATTGACAGTAAACTAAGTTTTCAGGAACATGTTGAAATGTTAGCATGTAGAATACGGAAGCTAATATTTATATTTAAAAACCTACATGTGACCAATAAGGAGATAGTTAAAACAGTCTGGGGTGGAGCATCTAAAACCCTATTACTGAAACACGAAAGAGCTCTAAGAGCAGTTTTAAAGCTTAGTTATTTCCTACCATTCTTCCATCCAACCTTTGACTTCTATAGGCAGATCAAGATTCGCACAGTCCGACATCTTTATGTTCTATACACAGTCTCAAAGCAGCATTTTTAGCTGACATATGAACCCCATTTGATGATGGATCGACGTAGAAAAGACATTGTTTGCCAAACGTCTTATTACAAAACTTCTTTTGCACACCGCTTCTTCTGTTATCAAATAATCGACGAAAACATCACACACATACACACATACACACGCAAACTTCACGCACGCATGCTTAACTTGATTCCGTGGGGTGAGAAACTGGTGATTTGAAATACAGGTTTACACCTATAATAGACAACAGCCCCGCACAATTACCTGATAAATATTTTTACTGAAGCTGTACCAACTCTAACATTGTATCTTGTTGTCATATGTTGTGAGGAGAAATAAAATACATTATTATTATTATTAATTATTTTTAACATAAAAAATAACTATTAACAATTATTTAACATAATTATTATGTATGTTAATAAAAAAAAAAAATTAGTGTTAACTTACTCAGTTTTCACTTCCATCAGCAGTCCGGCCATGTTTAATGAATGCTGTTTTAACTCAAACACCTCGTAAAGGGGTCTATACATACGGAACACGGATCTCTTCCGGCTGCTATAATTCACATTCTAAAAAGTACATCCCTCTCTGTTTCACGACAGCGACAAATGACGACTGCGTACGCCATAAAAGAGGAGCGGTGATACACCAGACAGTGCTGCAGAACGCGAGATGTAACAAACGACCGCTGCCGTGGAAGTAGGCGGCTGAATAATTGATGGAGAATGGTCCCAGCGTGTCGGAACGTCTGGTTGGACGATCGATATGCACAAATATGTGCCGAATACAGTGACCATCAGTACGAAAGCACAAATTCAAGCTGCCCAGCCGTTCATTTTTAGGCTTCCGTACCCAAAAGATAAACGGGACCCTATTACTAAAATTCCGCTTTTTGTTTGTCTGTCTTTTTGTCTTGGCCAGGCCAGGCCAGATACACCAGGCTGTATCTCATGAACCGTGATAATTAGACAGTGAAAATTTTCACAGATGATGTAATTCTGTTGCCACTATAATATTTAAAAATAGATTTGAAAATAATTGGGGCTTTTTGCCGTTTTGATAGAATGGTACGGAACACTTAGTGCAGAAGTTCAGCCTCCGTTAGTCGTGACATTTCTAACGACTAAAGGAATATTTCTTAAGACGATAGTAGACTAATAAATCAATAAGAAATATATATATCTTTCAGTATTCACTGAAAATGTGACAACTCATGAATTTAATCAAAGCATTGTTAATTTTAACCAAAATTAAAATAAGCAAACCGTCATTATTTGCAAATAATAACTCAGTAACAGAAAGAATTAAAATGGATAAACAAAGCGTTTGATCCCTTAAAAAATAAAACCCAGACCCCAGCTTGTAATGGCCGTCTTGAATCACATTAAGGAGCAAAATGGCGTCATTAACGGTTATCTTCCAAAATTACAATGTTATTAGAGGTATTTGAGTGCGATGATTGTACAATTGTTCAAGTTTGTCAATTATGACGCGAGTGAAGTACAAAGTTAACTTGAGATACGACGCCTTAACTGTCGTGTCCGTACCAGATAAAACTTTCATTGTTCAAACTGCTCCAAAATGAAACACATTTATTTTAACTTAATAAATTTATAGACCACATACAAATTGACGACACTGATTTAGCAGTTGGTGACACCAGTTGTGGGGTCATCAGCTAAGGCGGAACACAAGAGGCTGGCAAGTTGCGTCCTAGCTAGATTGTGTGTGTCAATGTCAATCACGTCATTAAAGGTTATGAATGGTACAAAGTTTATTATTTGCATCGGGATATCCGAAACTGCTTCAGCGACGTCCTCCAGGTCTCTGCTGACTGAAGAGATGCAGTTGTTTACTTCGTCCAAGCTTAGACTGGCGGCTATGGCACATTGATAACTGTTTTGCAAGAACGAAGGGTATGGAGGCGAGAACTCGCAGGACATGTAATCCACCTGAGCGTCCTGGTCACCTTCCAGTAAATGGAGCGCGCATCTGTGCAGTTGGTTGGCCCAGCAGTCGTTAGGGCCGAATTGGCACGTCAGATCGCCGCTCGACTCCCGCCTCGTTCTACCCCACGGCACAAATTCGATGTCCAGGAACTCCTTGTACAGTTCGTAGGCCGGCGACAACTGTTGATCGATGAATCTGACTGTGTCCCCACAACCCGCAGTGGTACCTACCGTTATTTTAATCTTTCCGTTGACTGTTTGCACCCTCGCCGCAGTTAGAACGTAGAGACACGACAAAATACATAAAATTGCCCTGTTTAGCATGATGATAAATGTTAACACGGTGACTGTAAAAATAAAACTAGCCTGCTCTTTAAAATGATCGTAGATAAATATCTGTAGGTCATTTACCATTGATAGGATTTCTATAAAATCAGTATAATCTCTTAATGCGATAAGATAATGTACTCGATAATCACAGGTAGCATGTACTTTTTATTTCAGGAACACGTGGATAACAGTGATATCTTTAAGAATATCTTCATTGCCTTGTCCCGGATGTAGATGAAATACAGGCTCGTTGTAAATTCATATTATACATTACTTTTACAATATACAATTGTTGTTTAAAAAGTAGTTAGTGTTGCTATATATAAACATGTATTCAGACTTAAAAATATTTATTTTATTAGAGTTTAATATTCCCATTTTATAAATATTATCCTATTATTATAAATTAATAATAAGATTAATATTTTTCTTTCTTCATAAACACAATCAGCTTCTTTCTTTGCTTGATTAGCATCACTTTTTGACAATTTAACTTAGCATACGCAGTTTACGTGTCTACTGTGTGATATATAAAATTCTTTAATATTTAATTCAAACTCAAAAAATGTCTTATATAATAATCTTATGCAAAACAAAACATCAAAACAGAAAAACACAAGATTTAGAATAATTTTTCTTTTACACCCCCTGCTCTCCATGTTTCAAGGTAATCTCTTAAGACATCATAAAAACTCAAATTCTTTTGAAATTAATATTTTCTTTTTGTACATTTTTACAGCTGCTGTCTGTGTTTTTAAAACGGCTTTAAGTTTAAGTGAATGTTAATTACGGTCCCTGACAATAAAAAAAAACTTGCACCTGAATAATAAATTTAAGGAAATTTAATTTTATTTCGAAGTAATTACGTAAGTTGCTTGGAATATTTTATTCATAACATATAATTAACATGTGTTAGGGTTATCTTTAAAAACTTTTTTATTGTTGGGATTAGATGAAAAGAAAAAAAAAATCGTTATACACTATTTTAGAATGTGATAGCAAAGATGTAATATTTTTTTTTTTAGGTTGCCGTACTACTAAGACTCGTCTGACAGTCTGTCTGTCCATCAGCTACCAGGCTGTATCTCATGAACCATAATTAAGTTTAAATTTTCACAGATGATGTATTTCTATTGCCGATATAACTAAAAAACAGAATAAATCAATATTAAAGCTGGGCTCCCATACAACAGACATGATTTTTTTCCGTATTTATAGATAATGGTAAGGAAATTTTCGTGCGCGAGTCCGACTCGCACTTGGCCGGTTTTTTACTCGAGTTTCTTTATTAGATAATGTATCATATAAATTCTATATCGTTTCATAAAACCACCGAAAAGCGGAACGCTTTAATCTGAATTTATTGCATAATAAATATAGCAGGTATTCAATTAAGGTTAATGTACTTAAAAATATAAGATCTCCCCTCCGTGGGATGCGTGGTGCCTGCCAACCGCAGTATTAATGAAATTGACTTCCCTAGAGATTGAACCGGGTACCCCGGCGTAAAGTTTTCCAGGTAGGGAATGCCGCTAAACGATTCTACTGCTTTTAACCAAACGTAATGGAATTGTCTGTGTTTACGCTGGTTTTTGTATATGTTTTCTTTTATTTATTTCACAGTATTTTCTATGTTTTTAAAAACAATGTAACATATTATTTTTATCGTTAAATTTATAAATCGGCAGACACATATCATGATAGTTAAATTTGCAGGTGCTGTCTTTCAATTCAAGATACTCGAATGAATTTGTTAATTTTAGGTGTTCACCTCTGGCTGTGTTCATTTCTGCCTTCCTAAAAACGGAAAGATTTATTTATTTCGTATATATTTATTGTTGGTATTTATCGTATGTATTTATTTTGTACCGAAACACGTATTTATTGTATGTATATATTTATTCCACTTTAATAACACCCATTTATATTAATATTTTAATAAACGTCAAAAACTAATATTGAGGTATCAATTGATTGTTGTAAAATGTTGATTTCACAACATCGATAAAGTGATAACACATTTTTACTCTTTTTTACTTTTTATTACATTTAACGCTTCTTAACAAAATCCTGCCGGTTGGGTTTTTTTAAGAAGCGTTAAATTAATACCTCACCTCAATTGTTGTGTCGTCTCTAGGCAGCAATTTGTCTATAAATATTTAAGCTTTCTACGCACCCTCCACACAGAACAGGATTCAATTTCACGCCGCGAAAAGGGGTCGGTTTCTCGCGACTACCGTTTCCTTAAAATGTCAAGAGATAAATGGAAGTGTCTGGTGTAAGCGGACCTCCTCGCTTTCGATTCCCTCCCTACATTCAACATGGTTCAGGAATCACAGCAAAAGGTAGGGAAGGGCCACGTGCATTGGGCAGGCCAATAAGCGGCCAATCGGAACATTATGCGGTTACATGCAAAACAGGAATGGCACGTGATCAATTTTGTGTTAAATTGATGAAAGCCCGAAGGGGGCTGAATCTTCTGCTTCGATTTTATGCCAGATCAATTCGAACATTTCCCTTAAATGCTGTAAGCTCTGTAACACCTCTCACTCTTCTTTTTAAATCAGAAACCCGCCCTTCTTTTAATCCATAATACTCGATCAAAGTGCATGTACATTTTGATGTGGTCGCGAAATTAAATTGTTTGATTTGCTAGCAGATGATGAAATGTGTGCGAAGTAACACATTTTTTTTTTATATTTAGTAATATTGAAAACTTTTTTATGTATACATTGAGCCATTTTAATCTAATGATAACTTAATGCAGGAAAAGTTATGGGTTATACCATAAAGAATAAGAATGTATAACGTCATCACATTTGTGACTACTCTGGTCTTGCGAGTGTCCATGGGCGGCAGAGAAAACTTAACATCCTTGGCCCACTTGCTCACTAGCCTCCTTTTCTATAAAAAAACAGCCAAGTGCGAGTCGGACTCACGCAAGAAGGGTTCCGTACCATCTATAAAAACGGCCAAAAATCATGTCTTTTGTATGGAAGCCCCACTTAAAGATTTTTTATTCAGTTATTTTTAGTATTCATCTGTGAAAATTGCAACTGTCTTAACTATCAAGTTTCATAAGCCTGGTGACAGAAGGACAGACAGACAGACAGCGGTCAAGACAACAGTCTTATTAATAGGTATATCACGGTGATAGGGCCACGCAACCTTGTTGCAAGAATGGGCAGGTCCGTCCAGGTCAGTACCACGACCTCACGAAAGACCGGCGTAAAGTAGATTTGTAACACTTCTGCGTTTCGTCTGGTGAGTGAGCCGGGGCCCACTTTATTTAAAAGTGGCAATGCACATCAGGTAACAAAAGGGTCCAGTTTTACTCTTTGGGTACGGAACCCTGTTTTTTAGGGTTCCGTACCCAAAGCGTCATCCAACACAATAAATTAACAATCTAAGGGTGACATTCGAAATGATATTACCAATCACATTTGTACTTGTAATAATAAAGTACGATTTTCTATGAACATGTATGCAATATGTCCTTATATTTTTTTTACAAAGTGGCATTACTGAGATGCGAGGCTCAAAGTTTTAATTCATTTTGCTGTTAAAAATATTATCACATGCGTGTGTTTTACTCAAAGTTTTTATTTTAATTTCCTATTGAAAAAAATTGTTTCATAAAGTATCCTCAAAGTTTTTATTTTAATGTCCTATTGAATAAAATTGAATTTAAATCAAATTTTCATGATAGTTAACAAATGAAAAAACAAATTACATGGGGCCAGGTTGTAAACAATCAATGTGATGCAAATATCTGTACTGCATATCTAGAACATTATTTTCAATTTGACAGCACTACTTGAAGCAATTTTTTTTATTACTTATTATATTACACAATTACAATATTTTAAATGTTTTTTTTTTTAAACTGAAGGAGATAAAGATCTTGTTGAACTAGGTCTAATCCTATAAGAAATACTGTGTTGTTTAGACTACCGCAAAAAGACATATTTTTTTATGTCTTTAGTTGCTAAAATAATTAGAAAACATTATAAAGCAGTAATTGCAAATTGCGACCTGCTGTAATACTATCCTAAGCATCAACGAAGACGATTTATCTTTGCTGATAAATCTAAAATCAACACCTAATATTTGTACGAATGAATCGGGATTTAGAAAATTATTGTATTTGAATCATCGATTGACATTTGTACAGTATGTATCGAGAATGTCTATTTCTTACGTCTTTTAGTATAACTTAAAACCTATCCTAAGATTGTTAAGTCCATTAAGATCCACTTTGTTTCAGATTACAGACGCTTTCACATAATTAAATGAAAAGACAGCTCCCGCCGCGCAATCTTACAACTCTAGCTATATAATTATGGGAATACCATTAAGCGGCGATAAAAGAGCTTGTTCACTTTACTTACTATCGTAGAGCGGACAATTTAAGCTTTACAAAAGGCTACGCAAGAACTCGGTTCGAGCTTACATGATCCCACATTTGAAGCTATAATGGCCGCTCGACTATTAGCCCTGAAGCCGTGGGCAAACTTACTTGAGCCAACTTAATCTAGGCTTGAGGCCGATTTCAACTGAACTTATTCCTCTAATGTTCTTGGGAGTGCCCCTTACTTTCACCCCCCTTGCTCTACCATCGTATTTTATCAGGGATAAAGTTAAACTTAGATAATGTACAGTGCTTACAATAACAGAGCGCCTGTTGTCGTCCTTTTGTTGTTCTGATATTTGCTATGAACTCATTTTCAAATTTGATATTTATAGCTTTTAGCTAAAAACCGTTTCAAATAAAACAATATTTTTATCTAAACTTACAAATATTTTGTACTAGCTGCTGCCCACGACGATATGTATATAAATTATAGCCTATGTCTTATTCTGATGTATAAGCTATATTATTGTAATGTTTGATTAAAATCCATTCAGTAGTATTTGCGTGAAAGAGTAACAAACATCCATCCATACATACAAACTTTCGCATTTATAATAATTATATCCCATTAATTACATGT